CCCGCCCGCTAGGACCGCCTGGGGAGCCGATTGGCCCGCTCCGGGAGAGTAGACCTAGTTCTGGCCCCGCCCTCCACTAGCCACGCCCACCCCCCATCTCTCTCCTCCCACCAGGACTCACACTTCACGCCGCCCTATTTCCTATTGGCCCCGCCCATTGCTCCCGCCACTGTGCTTCCCGGCGCTTGGGTTTCTCCCGTCTTCCTTCCTCGGGGCTCCTTCTTCACCAGTCCTTATCCATCCTTTAGGCCTCTTCTCTGCAGTCGGCCGGTATCTAGACCTTGTCTTCTTTCCCTCACCAGTTGGAAGTTTTCGCCCCGCCCTCTAAGTCCCTGTGGACCCTTAGGACTCTCTCCCCGTTCCAGGTCCTCCCACCCCCTTGCAGCCTGGTAGCGTTGTGCTCTTTACCGGTCCCTTAGCATCCCCATCTCCCGTTCTTCCCCCTCCCCCGATCTCCCGTTCTTTAGCCTCTCTTAGCCTTGCCTCGCCCCAGACTAGCCTGGTTGCTTTCAAGCCCCTTAAAGCCTCCTTCCTCCCTTAGTCTCGTCTTCCCTCAGCTCATTCAAGAGGTTTTCTGCCATTCTTAGACCCCGTCCACCTTCCTCAGTCCTGACACTAATTATCCCGGTCCAGCCCCATCTAATTAGGCCAAGTTTGCAGCCCCGGCCCCGACGGGTATTCCTAGCCAGACGCTCTCGGGTTTACAGGGCTGCTCGCTCATCTCCTCCCCTTCTCACTGGGTTTCAGTTCCTGTAACCCCTGCCCTGTCCCCTTTCAGTCCAGCAGCCTAGTGCCATTTCTCGAGATTGTACTCTCCACTCTCCCTATTTCCAGCTCCCGCCTTCATTTAGTCCCGTCCGACCCTCACTCTCCAGACCAATCAAGAAGTTTCTACTACAATTTTTCCCCGACCCCGCCTCTTTTTAAGATCCGCCCTTTCCAGTCCAAGCAATGTTAGGAGCCCAACCCCACAGTCTCCATCTGTCCTTTCCGCACCAGATTCTGCTTATCTACTCTTTAGGTTCGGGCCCCCTGCTCTGTCCAATCAGAATGGTCTCTCCGATTGTGGCCCCGCCCCCTAGCGCCGTCTGTCACGGCCAGTCCTGCCTCTTTAAATAGTTTGGACTTGTCCCTTTTCTATGCTCCGCCCCATCCTTTTTTTTCAGTTATATCTAGCCCCGCCTCCTTCGTTCTCTGTGCTGCCAAGCCCGCCCACATTAGCGGTGCGTCCCGCCTTCTTAGCACCTCGGCCCGCCCCTGTTTTCAGAAAGACCCAATCGGTGTGTTTCATTTGCCGCCCCGCCCCATTCAGCTGGGCCGGGTTAGTGTCCCAGCCCTTCTCTCTCTCTCTGCTTCAACTCCGCCCCACCCC